TCAAGCTAAAATAAATGCCTTGGCGTCAATATTTGGTGTTTTAGTGTCGGATTTTAATATTTCCATTTTTTTTATTAATCAAATTCATGGGTTAAATATATGATATTATATATACATTATTTTTTTCAATTAAGTACATAAATTTTTACCCTTTGGTTTGAGTATATTAATTTTTTAAAAACTATTAATTAAATATCTCTCGCTAATTTTCTATTAAATAATGATATGTCCGTTATTTTAGAATTCATAACTATAATTTTGCCCTCTTTTTTATCTATTGAGCACATACATTTTTTGTTTGTTTGTTTAAATACATTAATTTTTTTAAAACTATCAATAAAATATTTTATATTAATTTCTCTATTGATTGATAAAATATTCATTACTTTTTGAATATCAAATTATAAATTTACCTTTTTTTTGTTAGAACGAACCTTTTCAAAATTATTCTACCATTTCAAAATTTGACAAAAAATTAAAAATATTATTTTTTAGCTGCAACTCGAATGAAACTTTGCTAAGTTTAGGCATGAAATTTTTTTTAAAAAAGAAATAAACGGTGGGATTTTTCATAAAAAAATTCATTGCTCGCGAGCATTTAAAAACAAAATTTCTCCGACCATAAAATGATAAAATTATAATTTGATATTTTAAAAGGAATGAACACGTCATTAGCCAAAAAAAAAAAAAAAAGACAGATCTACTTGATTAATAGTTTTGAAAAAATTAGTATAGTCTAATAATAAAAAAATTAAATTTATGTATTTGATTGAAAAAAAATTATAATTTAGTTTTTTTTTTAAGTAAAAGACACATATCAGCTTAACAAAGAAATTAATAAAAGTGCTTCATTAAAAGTTTTAAAAGAAAATTATGTATTCAAATAAAAAAAATTAAAATCTATACTCAATTAAGAAAAAGTTGAACAATAATATTATTACAGTGCAATGGTCCATCGACATAGCCGAACCAGGACTGAATTTGCATTCAGTTTTGATTTTTTTTTAAAAAAAAAGAAAACAAAATTTTTTTTTTCATGAGCCCGACCAGAGCAGCAACAAAATTTGATCATACCAAGAGCTACAAAAATATAAATCGAAGCACAGTTCGACGACCTAACAACAACTCAATTCTAATGAAACAAAATCTATTAATTTAGTACTTTCACCATTAATCTTTAACAGGCAACTACCCAAGCACCTCACTCTCACAATCATATCAACCTCCACGATAAACAATTATCACACTAATATTTTATCAATAAGATAATTACATTATAAGTATATTCATTTTTAATTTTTTTTAGTCGAGTATATAAATTTTAATTTTTTTTTACTTAAGTATATCAATTTTTTTTAATATTATCAATTAAGTATTTCTATCCATTTTTTTATTAATCGATGATGTGTCTAGTACTCTCAAAATATCAAATTATAATTTTATCATTTTTCTCAATCGAGTATGAACTTTACTTCTTTTTTTGTTTGAGTATATCAACTTTTTCAAAATAATCAATCAAGTATTTCCATCACTTTCTTCATTAATTGATGATGTATTTGAATATGAAAATTATAATGTTACCCTCTTTTTGTTGAAAGAAACTTTATCCTCAAATTGTTTTACTATTTATAATTTGAAAAATAATTTAAAATTTATTTTTATCTCTAAAATTTCAAATTGAACTTAATTATGTTGTTGTTATATATATGTATATATAAAACCCAAATAGGTTTAAAAGTGAAAATTAAAGAAAAACATAAATGAATCTTTTCGATGAAAAATCTAACTTTTGTGTTTCCTTCATTTTTCATGCCCAAAACCTAACCGTTTTTTTTTTTTTTTTTAACAACAAGTCTTACTCAACTTAGTTCGTGATTTTATAACTAAAAATAGTCATTTTCTTAATTCTTTATCAAATTTTAAAATGATAAAATAATTTAAGAAGAAAGTTCCTTACAATAAAAGATGAAAAAAGAAGAAAGAGTAATTTAGTATTTGGACACATCATTAATTAATAGAGAAATTGATAAGAGTACTTAATTGACGAGTTTTGAAAAAAATTAAAATTCATGTACTCAATTGAGAAAAAAATAAAATTATAATTTGGTATTTTGAAGATAATCGATATATGTTATCGATTAATAAAAAAAAAACTTGACGAAAGTACTTGATTGATAATTTTAAACAAATTAATATACTAAAAAAATAAAATAAAGTTTATATACTTGATTAATAAAATGTTGAAAGTTGATATATTTATATTATAATTATCTCTTTTATCAGTGGAAGATAAAACGAGATTAAGATGAAAGAGTACTGAACTGAAACTCTTTCAAAGAAATTGGATCTAACATGCTTAAACTTATTGTGGGCTGCTATGACCACCAGAATATGATTGGATGGGGGCTGATAAGGGCCGAGAAGGTCAAGGATGGTCGGAGATGATCATTGAGGATTGGAGAGAATCAAATTAAATTGGTAGAGGACAAGGATGTCAATCGTCTGGATTTCGCTGAAATGGTCAAAAGTGGTTTCTGCGGGTGGGTGACGTACTTGATTGAACTTTACTAGTGTTTAAACAGTGGAGAGCGGCGAGGGTTTGGCTATTTTTATTTTGGTTAATTTTTACTTTATAGAGAGTGAGTGGTTTTTTGTGAACTATTTGTGAACCGGTGGTTAGGGGTGAGTAAACCATTTTTCGATTTGATTTCAATAAATTTTGATTCGATTTTTAGTTAATCGAATTATCAAAAAAAAAAATCAAAATCGAAACTCAATCGAATTTAAATTTAGTATTTTGGTTAAAAAACCAAAATTTTAATTTCAATTTAAACTGGTTGTTTTTCTTTTTTTAAACAAATTCTAATGTACTATGGGCCTAAATTTGAGGCTTTTGGTATTCTTTCTTAATTGTCAGGGATAGAATCCCAGTGCCCATTCTTAACTATAGTTGATCTTTTATCTCTTTGTAACTCTTTCTAACATATACCCATAAGTACAGATGACGTGGTCAAAGCACACTTCTTAATTTGTTCTTAAATTGCCTATTACAAAAGGTTGGTTCTTGTGTTTTTCTGCAGAACTTATGGTAGATGAAACACATGATTTTTTCTTCACAAGTTAAGCATCCCAAATTTTAACTACAAGCAGGAGAGAAGTTTTGTATAAGTACATGTTTGCATTTTCTTCATAGTTTACAAATTTGAACAAATACTCACATCATAAGACTAGCCACCCTAAATCTGACTACGCGCAGTCAATGTTGTAAAGAGAAGGGTTTTCTTTAGGTCTCTTTGTTGTCAGAACAAATACTCACATCAGGTTTTGCAAATCTTCTTTAAATTGTTGTGATACAAAAGAAGGTATGAAACCACATGTTGAAGACAAGATATAAGTGGATTGAGTAGTACGAGGATGGGCGGTGAGGAAGAACGGAGGAAGAGTAATAGAAGCCTAGGAGAAGGAGGACGAAGAGATAGATGCCGAGGAGGAAGGGAAGAGGAAGAGAGAATCTGAATCGACGGCTAAAGTTGAAGGTGGGGTGGTGGAAAAAAAGGAGGTGCGCGACTGACTTGGCTAAAAGGGCAAAAAGATGAAGATATTTAGGGATGGGTGTGACTGTGACTACGTGAGGGAGTGAGGAACCGAGGGGTTTTGAATATATATATATATATATATATATATAACCTCATTCTTGGTTTAAATCGATTTAAAATTTTCAAAAACCAAAACAAATTGAAATAATTTGTATTCTTTGATTTGATTTTTTCTTTTAATTTTTTTTTAAAAATCAAATCAAAATTGATAATTCGATATGATTCGGTTAAAACCAAAATTTGCTCATCTTTATTATGGTTCTTTTGACATAATGGGCAAGACAAGGCGACTAAAGCTGCATGCTAAGTGAAAGTGTGAAATTGAGAGGAAAAAGGTTTGTTTAATTTTTTTCTTTATATATATATATATATATTATCGAGATGTATATTAGCTCTAAATATGATTATTATTATTATTATCGATAGATGTTAGGGATGTTAATCTTATCCCTTAATTTGAGAGACTCTAGTTAAGATTACCTCTATCCCTAGATTAGGTAGTTTTGTACTAAAACTTATTGTATATATATTTTGATCTATTGTAACTTACGTAAGTGAGAATATAATTTTTCTTCTCAATTTTCTTTAATATATATATATATATATATAATTTGGTTTTTGCTTTAAACCTAATTAGAATATTATTAAAAAAACTCGAATAATCTAAATTGATTTGGTTTCAATTTTTTAATAACCAACTTTAATTAAAAATCAAACTAAATTGATATTTTTATTTTGATTCGGTTAGATTAATTGATTTTAATTGAATATTTGCTCTTTCTTATAAATGTCCAAAACAAAAATAATTCTTTGTAATAGTTTAGACTAAATTCATTATGTACATCATGTATTTTCGTAGATTCATACAAAGAACTCATTCATTATCACTTATTCTATATTTTAATTTGTCAATATATATATATATATATATTTGATGCGAGGATAGCTTAGGGGTCGTTCGGGATCCGATTTGGGGGTTGTTTAGTGGTTGTATTGAAATGGGTGTTCTGCTAGAATATGAGGAAGTATATGGGTAGGATTCTAGGAGTCACACCTAGAGAGTAGATAAATCCTAAGCTTCACACCTAGTGGTTCTTAAGAGTCACACCTAAGGGAGATTGAGTCACACAATCGAAGTTGTTGGAAATTGTTTGATATTATTGCATAGTGAATATTGAAAGAATACATGCTAAATTTATAGAGTTATAGAAGTCCTAATCCAATAAGGACAAGGATTCCTAAACCTCCAACATAACTATTCCTATTTAGACTAGATAAACCTATTATAACTACTCCAATTTTAGAATAGGAAAACTAACTTTAGAATTAATAAAATACTTAAACGTAAATAATATAATTTCATATTTTCTAGCAGATCTAAAATTACTATAATGACCGAATCAATCACTCAAATTCCCAATTGAGGCTACCGCCCATGTCCTCTACCATATCTCCCCAGCTGAAAAGAACTCGACCTCGAGTCGAAGGTATGAAATTGGGTATGCAAATTGAGGTTAAGCTTTTGCAATTCTTCCTCTATAATTCGAGTGCAATCGGATAGAGATCATCCTTTCCACTTGACTAGGAACTTTTGGTAGCCTCTAGTTCTAGTAGAAACCATTTGATAGTCAACAATGTCTTCAATCTCGTCTTTGTATTGTGGTGCCGGTAGCAATCTGAAGCAACCGAATCGAAATCGGGTCCTCATCATGACCACGATACAAAGTAAGACTTCAACATTAAAAGTACTACTTATGCCCATGTCATCCGGTAGGTCTAGGACATAAGCATTAGAGCTAATCTTTTTAAAACCTTGTAAGGTCCTGTACGAGCGTGAGTGAAGCTTCTTAAATGCACTTTTAGGATACCTCTCGGGTTTGATCCGCACCATAACCATGTCACCTTCCTTAAACTCAATAAACCTTCTTCGTAATCCATATGAGATTTGTAGCTTGTATTGTTAGAAGCAATCTTTCGACAAACATTACCATGTATGTCGTGAATATGTTTTGCAAAAGCTTCGCTTCTATACTAGGACGAGTCTCAATAGGCAAGGAAACCAAATCAATTGGTTTTCTTGGAAGCATACTCGTCACACTTGCAAAAGGATCGTGTTCGATACTTTGATTCACCGAACTATTATAAGCAAATTCAGCCATAGGAAGAACTCTATCCCAAGTAGAAACATGATCACCAACACAACAACGAAGAAGATCACCCAAACTTCTATTATTAACTTATGTTTATCCATCCATTTGAGGATGAAAAGAAGAAGAAAATTTTATCTTTGTGTTAAACATCCTTCATAAAAAACGCCAAAAATAACTCATAAATTTCACATCACGATCAAAGACAATTGTCTTTGGCGACCTATGAAGTCTAACAACTTCGTTAAAGAAAAGCTTAGCAATATGGATTACATCGGATGTTTTTGAACAAGGGAAAAGTAAGCCATCTTTGAGTAATGATCCACAACCACAAAGATAGAATCATGGCCTCTTAAAGTTTTAGATAAACCGAGAATAAAATCCATACTTAAATCTTGCAAAGGCTCGTGAGGTATAGGTAAAGGCATATACAAACTTGTATTCCGTCTTCTTTCCTTAGAAATTTGATAAGTACGACATCTTACAATAATCCGAGCAACATCTCTTTTCATACTTGGCCAATAAAATCTAAATTCCACCATTACAATGGTCTTATCTCTATCAAAGTGTCCCGCCGCACCTTTAGCATGTAATTCACGCACCATTTCTTCACGAAGAGATGTGTTAGGCAAGCACAAACGAGCTCCCTTAAAAAGGTATCCATCATGTATGGAAAAATTAGGATGCTCATCATGTTTTTCAGCTAATAAATCAAGCATATATGGTGCTGAAATCCCGATAAAAGGGCAATCTTTGTTGAGTAAGTCGAAACCAATAACTTGAACATTCATACAATTGAGAATTAGTGTCATACGGCTAAGTGCATTAGCTGCCTTATTTTTAATTCCAGCCTTATGTTTGAGAACAAAAGTGTACTCTTGTAAGAAAGAAACCCAATTTGTATGACGATAGTTTAGCTTCTTTTGAGAATTTATGTATTTGAGCGTCTCATGATCGAATACAACACAAACTCTTTAGAAATTAAGTAATACCGTCGGTGTCGTAATGTTTGAACAACAACATAAAATTCTTTATCATAGGTTGAATACTTTTGCTTTGCCTCATTAGGTTTTTCACTAAAATAAGCTAGTGGAGGTCCGTTTTGGATAAGTACACCACCAATACCTACTTGAGATACATCATAAGCCACCTCAAATACTTTATAAAAATCGAAAGGTGTAAAACAGGAGCCTTGGTCATCATCCTTTTAATTTCTTCAAAAGCCTTTGTTCGTTGTCTTGGTCTAGATGAATTGACCTTTCTTCAAGCAATAGTTATAGGAGCCATTATGGTGCTGAAATCTTTAATAAATCACCTATAAAAAGTAGCTAACCCATGAAAACTTCTTACTTGACTCAAAGTGGTTAGGGCTGGCCGTTCCCTAATGGCCTTTACCTTATTCGGATCAACTTCAACTCCCTTTGATGAAACAATAAAACCTAGGAACACAACGCTTGGAGTCATGAAAGGACACTTCTTTAGGTTGATGTAGATTTTTCTTGGCAAAGAACTCTCATTATTTGTCGAAGATGAGAGATGTGCTTTTCCTTGGTCTTGTTGAAAATCAAGATATCATCAAAATAAACAACGAGAAAACAACTAATAAAGTGGTCGGAGTATCCGGTTCATAAACCTCATAAAGGTGCTAGGAGCGTTGGAGAGCCCAAATGGCATGACTAGCCATTCGTAAAGTCCATCCTTAGTTTTAAAGGTTGTCTTCCATTCATCATCGAGTCCGATTCATAACCGATGATACCCACTCTTTAGGTCAATCTTTGAAAAGATGGTTGAACCTACCATTACATCCAACATGTCATTTAAACGTGGAATAGGAAAGTGATATTTAACGATAATCTTATTAATAGCTCGACTATCAATACACATGCATCAAGTACCATATTTCTTAAGTGTTAGTAATGCTGGAACAACACAGGGACTTAGACTTTCACGAATAAATCCTTTAGATAGCGACTCATTAACTTGCCTCTCGAGTTTAGCATGCTCACTAGGATTCATCTAATATGCTCGGAAGGTTAGGTAGTTGTGAGCTTGGAACAAGATCAATGGCATGCCGAATACTACGTAGGAAGGTAATTCCTTAGGTAGATCTTTTGGTATAATATTGGAGAAGTTCGATAATAATCTAGTCACTTCGGAGTCAAATTAGAAATAGGGGCAGCAATCGGCTTTTTTGTCGCCCTTGTAATAACAACAAAAATCACCTTAAACTTGGAACTTGTTGCTTGGAATTGTTTCTTAGCCAATACTTGGAGATACTTCCTTGGAGTGCCACTAATACTTTTTGAATTCTAGGACTTCTCTTGATAAGGAAGGTTGAGGTGGCGATTATAATAATAATAACAAAAGAAAAATTAATGATAGCGTTTCAAGAAATGAGGAAGATTATTGAGATAAAATTTTTATTTTGACAAATTATACTTAATTAATTAAATTATTTGAAAATGCCCATATTCATTTGATCCAATAGATAATTAAAAAGCTCTTTTGTTGAATTAGTAAAAACAAGGTGAAATAATGAGTTTAGTCGGCTTTAATTGCAATCCTCTACATATCCTCTCATCGGTTGCTTATGCTTGAAATAACTACCTCTAATCCTTTAATTTGGAATAAAGTGATTAAAATATTTAGAAATTTTAAAGTTTAATTCCTTTGTAATCACAACATTATTCTTTAATTTCGAACCATTGAATGTAATGATTCTCAATACTTTTAAAAAACTCTTTGTATATATGAAAATATACCAACATTAAGCCTTTTCGTGATAAAAAAAAAAAAATTGGAAACTATTAATAAAAATAGTATATACAAAATATAGAAGGAATCGAAAAAACAAAAAAGTAGCATAATGACTCGATTTCAAATATTCCAAATTATTCTACAAATAATTTGAAATTTGAAAAAAGTTTGATCAATTTATTTATTTATTTTTAACATGTGGCATTGTTTTAACTCGTCAAAACTTGAAATCATGACTTCTAGGACAACGTTGGCGCAATAGGCAATTGCATAATTATTCAAAATATTATAACTAAAGCGCTTTTAATTTACAAATTATGATATATATATATATATATATGACTTAAATGATTGAAAATCCAAATACACATTCTAGCTTAGTGTTTGCATCAAACATCCATTCATTCATTCAAAAAGTGTAATACCTAAATTTGTTTTCTATGCTTTGTGTACTTATTTATTTTATTAAGTATGTTCATGTCATACTGGTGTTATTATATATAGGTGTTTTATTTGCAAAATTAATGTTGCTAAGTGTTATATATGAATAGTAAATTAATTGATAAGTGAAAAACTTAAAAAGTATGGTTTATTAAATAATTTTCATATGTGTATAACTTAGGATTTAAATTTAATTAGTAACCTAAATATGTATTAATTTAGAAAATAATATCCTAATTAAAAGTTCCATCTAAATTAAAATGTCTAAGTATAGAATATCCATCTTAGGATATGTTAAGGTTATTTTGGTCCAATAGTTTCGGTCGAGAGAGGAAAATAAAAGGCAAAATTTTTGCTTAGGTTTTCATTTGCCTCCATCCATCTTTGAGAGCTAACACACCCGAGAGAGAGAGAAACAAACCAAATTTCTCAAGGGAAGGAACCTTACTCGATAGGAGGGGAATATTATCGAATGAAGGGGAGTTTGGCCAAGAGAGAGAGAGTTGGTTAAGAGCCACATTTAGATAGATTTTGTTGAAAGGAAGAAAGAGGAAGAGAAGGCCTTTTTAGCCGAGAGTTTAAGTAAGGAAGAGAGAGGGAATTTCAAGGAATTTTAAGATGATTTATAATTTAATCAAACCTAAGATAAGTGTAATTTTAAATCACCACAAGGCTTATGACTTATATGTGTTGATTTGATAATATGCATTCCTATGAAACCTAGGGTTTCCATTTGTGCAATTGAGTGAATTGTGTTCAATTAATACTTAGGTTATGAAATTGATGAGTTATTAAACAATGTGATGTTATGACACATATTTAATTATTAATTGAATATGTGTAATGATGTGTTCATGTAAACCTAGAGATTTTAGGGTTTGTGTTAGTTGTTAAATGATGATTTTACATTATGATGTTATTGGATAAGAAATTAATTAAAGATTGATCATTGAATTAATGATGGGTATGTGTTTAATCGTTGATTTAGCATGGATAATGTGATGATCATGTCTTAGGTTTTAGCTATATGACTAATTGTTGATTATCCTTAATTGATGAATATACATGATTATTATGATTGATATGTATGAATTGATGATTGTACATTTACGCATCTATTTAATTATTGATGGTTTAATTGTATTGGGTAACTTTTGATAGATTCAACCTTAGCTTGTGAATGCGTGGTTGAGGTTTGCTTGATGTTATTTGATTTGAGATGATTTAACTTGTTAAGTAAATTTAGCTATGCTTATTGATTTATTATTTAATTATTGCTTGATGAATATTATTGTTGCTTGGTTTTGATGATTAAATTGCTTATATTGAAACATGATGAACTCGACCATGCTTAATTAATACAATGATTTTGTATCGTTGGATAAATTGAACACTTGAAGGATGTTTATTGTGATTCAATCATAGGCTTATGGATTGGATGGTTATGAGGAAACTTAATGGATTCAGCCTAAGTGTATGCTTGTTGTAATTTATTTTTACTTATGGTTACTTGATTTGAATGGTTAAATAATCGAATAGTTGTGTTAATGTGAGATGACTTGGCTTATTAATTGAATTAGTCTAGAGTTGTTGTTTAAGTGATTGTGTAATTGCTTGGTGGATTTAACTTATTTGATGGATTTGGTTTGATTAAGGTTGTTTGGTTTGGTTGGCTAAATATTGAATGATTTTAGATTAGGTAACTATTTGATGTCATTTAATCATGTGTTTGGGTGTTTAAATGATATTTGAATGATGGAGATGTTCTTGGATGATTCGGCCTAGGTAGCTTTCATTGAGATTTTATATTGTGATGCCATATGATGGATTTGGCTTATGACCATGAATTTGTTTGAGGTTGTTATGGTTTGATGGATTCAAATTAGGTGATTAATTGATGTAGTTTGGGTTATATTCATCGTTGCTTTTGGATTGATGTTAGAAGATTGTATGCTTATAGTGCCATGTGAAGGATTCAACCATGTGTTATTTTTGGATTTTGTTTATGAATGACTTAATGTCATATGGTTTGTGTTCATCTTTATGCTTGGTGTTCATAAGATGGTTTTACATGGCTTATATTCATTTAATGGCTTAATGTATAAATTCTAATTATATTCACATCATGAAATATTTTATATCATGATTTCAAGCATCTAATAAAAGACATCTACATAGTTTTATGAGAGCGTAGATCATGGCTAAACATGTTCATAAGGGAGAAGGAGGAATGACCAATCCTTTGTGAGGTTCATTAAATCAAACATGTCTAGAGCTTTTATGGATTTCATGATGACGGTTTTAAAAGATGGGTGAATTTATATACATTCGGGAGGGTTTATCTAAAAGACAAAAAAAATTTAGGCATGATAAAGATGGTTTTCGTTACATTCATGCATAGTTGCACTTATTGAATCTTAGATCATTTTATTTTTCTTGTGGTATAGGTGAGCAAAAACAATGCTTGAGGATCAGTTAAATGTGTTGAGGATACTAGCCGTAAGCTATGGAGTTTGCCAAATCGTGTAATACGGGCCTTTGTTTATGGTTTAAAGGCTAAACCATTCTAGGTCTCAACCACTTTTGGGAGTTGCCTAGATTCAATCATTTTGGAATGTAAATGATAAATTTTTTGTCATTTTGGATATGTTAACACCCATGCGCGCGCGCACACACACACACACACACATATATTCATGAAATTAAAGAAGTATGAAAGATTATGTCAATTGTTGGATATGTTGATACATTAAGTAAAGTATGAATGGATTGTTGTTTATGAATGATTTAGGTTGAATGAAATAGTTTATGTTTATGCAACTTGTTATTTTAATCCAAGAATGAAAATAAAATGATTTAGTTTATGCAATTATGCATTTGGTTGAAATTTATTAGCCTTAAACATCTAATTTTAGGAAGTCTTGAACTTTAAATCAAATCAAGATTTCATTATGCATGATGATAAAGATTCGGGATAAAAGACATAGTGTATTGCCTTGTACCCTTGAGTGCAAAATAGTGTAGTAGCACTCTCGACATCCTTATTGGGCTATAAGCATTATAGAGGTGGTATCAAAATAATTAGACTTAGTAGTCCTAAATGGTACATGTAAACTTGAGTTCCGACGACATCATCAATCAATAAGTGTTTAAATTGTTGAATGTGAACCTTTTATCTAATGCTTGGCAAATGTAATTGACGATTATGTGTTGTGTTCATTTCATGACTTATATGACATGATTGATGTTTGTTGGATATGTTTGATATTGATGTGTGAATTATAGAACTCATATGAACGTGTGGGAATAAGAATGGGATGGCAAGGGAAAACTATCATGGACTAGAAGCAAACATGAAAGCTACAACCGAGAAGAAAATGATGGGTTTGAGGATAATAGGGTTTTGACTGAGCAAATGCTTGAGTTGTTACATCAACAATAAGAGATGATGCAACGAAGTAATAACATAAACAAAATAAACGAGATGAGAGTCGTAATAGCCATGCGAGTAACCACCAATAATAACAAGGCCATCACACTTTCCGTGATGGCCATGTAAGTAACCACTAATAGTAACAAGGCTATCATAAAAGGTTGATATGGATGAGAGATTCGGGAAGTTCAAATTGAATTTGTTTATGGGAAAGTTTGGCCCTATAGTTGCCAAGGAGTGGATAGACTCTTAAAGAAGTTCTTCGAGTATATGGTAATGGGAGATGAGGATAGGGTGTCTTATGCCATATCATGCTGGTTGGTAATGCACGAACTTTGTAGAAATTGACAAAGATTTATTTGGATGTGCCTTGTGATGCCCCCGCCCTAGTCATATTTCTACTATCCAAGTAAGGTACTCGGACGAAGCATGTTACGTTGACATACCCTAAACTCTAAGTAGTTCTTTTATGATATTCTTAAAACTTTAATAAGCACATTACGTATATAACTCCTCAATATAAAATTTACATAGCATAATTAAATACATTAATAAAACATTACGAGCAATATTCAATTTCTCACGAACTCCATATCCCAAATTTACGGACAAAATAAAAACTAATAAATGGTGCCTCACATGAGCTAGTTAGGAGGAGCCGGTCGCATCCGTATCAACTTTTCATTTTCCTGTCACGACATAAAAAATAACAACGGGGTGAGCCGAAGCTCGGTAAGTAGGGTGATGCATGTGATATGCAATATTGTTTTGACTTCCCACTATGCTTATAAATTTTAATCTCGGCTACCCTAGGTATTAGCCGATCTACTCTATTTATCATCTGGGTGGTCCACAAATCACCTTTTGCTACAACGGAATTATCCCTCGTTATAACTACTATTAGCGAGGAATCCATCGTCTAACAATGCAAACACACGACTTGATTTCATCCGGATGATCCTCGGATCATCTTCTCGCTATAACGAATTATTCCTCGTTGTAACTACTATTAACGAGAATCCATCGTCTAATAGTGGAGGCACATAGCCTAGAGTACTTGGACTACTAATACCCATTTATTCCGGTTAGGTTATCAAACCTAGATGTATAAACTATTTCTCAATCAATTGACTTGTCTTAAACCATCCATTATGCACATGATGCACGTGATGTTATGTTTATTGTGTTAAACGTACTAGGGGCACCAACCTTACACTATAAATTCTTTCCCCATACGGGGTTCGGTTCTATATATTTTCATCGGTCTAACCCACATAGGGTTCCCGTAGGTTTGACCTACACAGGGGTCTCTTTAGGTCCAACCCATACAGGATTTTCATACATTTTTATACCATTCCTACACCGTATTCCTTCAAAGAGGACCCATCACCGCTGACTAGTAATAGTCCGGCCACCAATTTTCTTTTATGCGTGGTCACGCTTTCTCGGTTATTTTCGGTGAGATTCGTCATTTCACTTGATTTATGTGGCCACCGATTTTAAGGGTTGCTTTGTGGCATACTAAGGTAAATTCTATTCTAGGTACTATTAAATCATTACTCATAAGATCTGGATGGTTGGGACTAACTAATCCATACGTACCAAATTAGGATTTCTTTCCTAACCCTAGCTTGGGTATTTATAGTCGAATTTTGTCCCCAATGGGCCTAGGTTATGAATTCGATTTTGCTCTTGAATTCTTACCTCTTAGTATTTTATTCTACACTTGTTTGAATGTAATTTAACTCTTAATCACAAAGTTAGAAGGTCATAAAGTCCTAAAAATAGCCTAAGGTTTTCCTGCCATTTTTATTAAATCTCTTCCACTCTAGCTTATTATTTTGCACTTAATTGGATTGCTAGTGGTTGTAGGCCTTAAAGTTCATAAAAGAAATCCAATTGTGCTCACTTTGGGATTCCTAGGCCGAATGGGTTTTTAAGAAAGCCCTAAGCATTCCTTTATTTCTCTTCCAATTTCTTCATCCCCATTTTCGGTCTAAGTCCTTAAATTTTTTTTATCCCACAATCATCAACACATGATAAAATATACATTAGGCATAATAGACTTCAAGGAGCACATAGAGATAATATAACCAATAAATTCAAACCAAGCCATCCACACCAAGCCAATACAAATTAAACCATAACAATACAAGCAATAACTTAATTAAATACATGAATTAAATTCATAGAAAGAACAAGCATGAAGTAAAACCCACATACCTAGCTTAGATGTGGTTAGGTTTCCTTAGCTTTTCTTTTCTTTTTTTTTCCTTTTCCTTTCCCTTCTTTCCTCTCCTCACGTTTTTTTTCTTTCTTGCCTTTTCTCTCCCAATTTTTGGTACCTAAGGGTTGCTAAAATTTTTCTCACTATCTTAACACTTTATATATATATATATATATATATATATATACTTACTTACCTTCAGCTACAAGTGTTAGAAATTAATGGGACAAGGTGTAAAAGTTATAGGTGAGTCATGAGGAAAGGTGGTCAGCTTTGGGACCATAATGGGTGAGTTGGTCTTAAATTCATTTATTGCATTTTCTTAGGTGTCTACATAAAATTTAGACAAATTAAAATCACTAATTAACTTAATTTAAGTAACTAAATCTACTTTCTTTCCTAAAAAAATTCAAAAATTTCCATTTTTAAAATTCGAAATTTCTTTTTCTCCAAAATTCCAGCGATGTTACCTCCTAACCTATCTATACTAAAATGTACATAACTCTTTCTATATATATCCAAATATTATGAAATTTTATAAAGAGCTATTAGACACATATACGAACAACATTTATTCTTTAAGTGTTTCTCCAAAATCAATCTAACGTCATCAAATAAATCTCATAAGATTCGGGTAGGTTCTTCTTCCGAAATTCCAGCAGAATGCATTTCGAAACAACTCTCACCATAATGGATATAACTCTTAATGTATAGGTCTAAAAATTATAAAATTGTATACAGATCTATTCAACACATAGATGAACAAACTTTCATTCTTTAAGGTTTACCCAAAAATCACTCTAAAGTCCTCAAATAGTTCACACAAAACTCGAGTAGAATATAGTCCTTAAAACACCGATTTTGCATAGCACAATAACTTTAATTTAACATAAACCACATATTTCAAGCATTAATTTCTCATGATAAAATGAGAATTATACTTACTCTTAATATACGTATATATAGAATTATTCTAATATACGTCGCGTTACGGATAAGGGTTTTTACGGGGGTTACATGCCTAACCTTACATGGGCATAATTCAAAGCGGTCTCAATAAGAAATTTTTCTCTAATATTATGAATTCGAAAAAAAAATTTAGAGTTCATGAAGTTAGAGCGAGAGGGATATGTCGGTGATCTGAATATGTCCAAAAGTTTGAGCACGGTTACTAGTTTCCAACCTTTATTTTAGGAGATACTACATAGAAGATGGTCCATTTTTTAAGGAGACTGAAACCTAAGGCATGCAATCTAGTACGTGTGTCCGAAGATGGTTACGGTGACTTGGTCACTAAGGCGCTAGAAGTAGAGAAAGATCGAGAGAGGCGGCATGATTACGGAAAGGTAATCGGTTATTTATTATGAACTAGTTTAGTGAGAAAACTACTAAAAGGAATAGGTTTAAAAGGACTTGGCTAGATAATGCCAATAAGGCTAAGTTTATCGAAAGGCAATAAGGGGTATAACCATAAAGCGGGATGAATTGCCTCAAGTATGGTCGGTCACATATTGAGAATTGCTTGGTTGGCATTAATACATGTTTCTTCTATAAAGAGATAGAGGCATTCGATAACTAGTTGTCCTAAGAATAATGTTGCACCAAAAGTACCCAAAAGAGTGTACATCATGACTTCGAAGTAGGCTAAGAAAGAGTATGTATCCATGATATTCAATAATATTCTAATTCATAACCTTATCACATACATTTTAGTTAATTCGGTGTATGACATTCATTCATATCATGGTCATTGTTGAGAAATTAAGGATTATACTTGAAATAATAGATATTATATATGAAGTGGCTCTTCTTTCAAAGAAGACAACAGAGTCTAGAGATATGGTTAGGGGTTTGAATTATGGATTAGTGATAATATTTTAAAGGTGGATTTAACAATCTTGAGGAGTCAAAACTTTAATGTGATATTAGGCATGTATTGCTTGTCCAAAAATGGTGTATTGATCGATTGTCTTATAAAGAAAGTGGTGTTTTATTGATCGGAAGAGCATGAAGTAAAACCCATTTGAGCTTTGAGCCAAAAACAAGTTGTAATCTGTTTGTTATTTCGATAATGACATATTGAAAAATGATTAGCAATGGGTGTTTAGGTTATTTAGTTGATATGGTGGATACCAATAAGGAAGGAACGGAAAGGGTGGGGGATGTTGATGTAGTGAGCAATTTCTTAGATGTTTTATTGATCGGGAGAGCAACCATGTAACTTAATTCTAGCCAAATTCATTCAACAAGACAAGTTATTTCTTATTAATACAACCATCCAATCAATTAACCAACCCAATCAAATAATCATATGTAAACCAAATCCATCAAACAACAAAATCATTATTGAATACACAAGTAAAAGCCAAATTACAACAAGTATACACTTAGGTCGAATCCATCAAGTTTCTCACAATCAACCATAATTTTTAATAAAAAGTATTCACAAACAAAATAAATCCATTAAGCTTCAACACAATCATCTATTCATCAATCTCAAGGCGAATTTCAACGAGGCATAAAACACCCATGAACTCTAGCCCAATGCATTAAACAACATCACCAATAAATCCTATCCAGAACACCTCGTCTCCATCATCATTCAAGTATCCAAGCCAAATTCAAATTATAACAAACATTTCTCAACATTCATTCGATAAGTTATTTCACATTAATATAACCATCCAATCATTTAACCAACCCAATCAAATAATCATATGTAAACCAAATCCATCAAACAACAAAACCATTATTGAATACACAAGTAAAAGCCAAATTGCAACAAGTATATACTTAGGTCTGAATCCATCAAGTTTCTCACAATCAACCATAATTTTTAATAACAAGTATTCACAAACAAAATAATTCCATTAAGCTTCAACACAATCATCTATTCATCAATCTTAAGCCGAATTTCAACAAGCATAAAACACCCATGAACCACTAGCCGAATGCATTAAACAACATCACTAATAAATCCTATCCGAACACCTCATCTCCATCATTATTCAATTGTCCAATCCAAATTCAAATTATAACAAACATTTCTCAACATCCATTCGATAAGTTATTTCATATTAATACAACCATCCAATCATTTAACCAATCGAATCAAATAATCATATGTAAACCAAATCCATCAAACAACAAAATCATTATCAAATACACAAGTAAAAGCTAAATTGCAAAAAGTATACACTTAGACTGAATCCATCAAATTTTCTCACAATCAATCATAATTTTTAATAACAAGTATTCACAAACAAAATAAATCCATTAATCTTTAACACAATCATCTATTCATCAATCTCAAGTTGAATTTCAACAAGTATAAAACACTCATGAATCCTAGTAAAATGCATTAAACAACATCAACAATAAATCCTATCCAAACACCTCATCTCCATCATCATTCAATTTTCCAAGCCAAATTCAAATTATAACAAACATGTCTCAACATTCATTTGATAAGTCAAGTAATAACAAGAAAGCATCTAGGCCGAAACCATCACATGAATACAAAGTCAAGCAATACGAAATTAAACTTTTAAACCAAACCATTTAACTAATATCACAAGTATCCAATCTTCATTTAAGCAATCGATAAGCTAAATTTTCCCACATCAACATAATCATCCAATTATTCAACTAATCAAATTAAGCAAACATAAGCAAACCCAATCTATCAAGTGACACACCATCCTTAAATTTATAAGCAAAACCAAATTATGACAAGCATACTTCAAAGCCATAACCATCAAGTTTTCTCAAACCATGAAATCAATAAGCCAAAACCGAATTACATCACTAAAAAAACCCTAGGTGAATGCATTAAGCATCAATATCAATTCCAAATTCATCACCAAAACATGCCTTATCATCATTAAATCATCACGACATAATAACAAGTGAATTCATGAACTCCTAATCCAAAACCATTCTTAATAATAAGTACCATTGTTAGAGAAAAATCATAATATTTTACGCATTGATAATCTTTACTTTCTTCCTATATATATATCTTGTTTATTTTTTTCTTTCTTTTTAATCACTATCTCTTGACAACTATATTGAAAAGAAGATAAAAACATGTGTATTCATGTAACTCGCACACATAATTTTTTTTTTTTTGAAAAATCTCTAATCATAATAAGATTCATTTTGCATTATATTTAAATGATTTATTAGTTCAAAATAAAGAAGTAATGTCCCTTGATCATGATAAAATTGTTGAAACATAAATCACGGATCAATTAAATCCTTTTAAGGACTTGTTTAAGAATAAGATAGAAGTAAATACTATGAAATAAGGGTTGATACTATTTACTGAATTTCTAAAATATTTCATTTGAGAGAGAGAGAGAGAGTTTGAAATGATAATATCTATTACGGACCGGTAGGGAGGAAAGGAAAGTTTTCCTCCGTTTGGTTTGCGAGAGGAAAGTCTGTGGAAAGAAAAAAATATTAAACAAATCTATAAATGGTGGGACCTATTTTCCTCCTAAAATTGGGAGGAAGCTGGGAGAAAACACATAAGAAATCATCAAAATGTTTTGATTCATATTTTCGCCCTCATCTACCTCTCGCCTCAGCCGTCCCCCTCCTTTGCAGTAATAAAAGAGATCTACAAAATAGATCTACCTCGGCCTTGACCCTCACGACACCCTTCTCTCTAACCTTAAGCCCACTTTCATTTTCACTCCTTATCACGGAATCAACAACGATTGTACTAGCTTTGAGGTCGGATTTCGGGGACGGCAGAAGACACGAAAGAGATCTAAAGGGGATCCAATGACAAGGACGACGAGTAGCTATGCTTCATCAAAATCCGATTGTCTTCGATTTAATAGCCACCGGTTTATCCGCTACTATTGCTCTCTCTCGTCCTTCATGTCTTTGAAGAAACCGTTAAACGACATGTCTTCGATAAGTCTCTCCCTTCCTCAATTTCCTCCCCCTCACGCATAATTTTTTGGACATTTTTATAAAGCTTAAAACTATGTGCACTATTGTTTCTTGTCATTTGATTAATGGGTCTTTACAATTTTATTTTTTTTAGATGGGGTTTTCTTGTTTCTCTTTGGTTCTCAATTTCGGGGTGAATTTTTTAAAGGCCTAGTTTGTTACGATTAATCAATGGCTATTGTGTTTTTGGTGTACTTGGGTCGTTAATTTGCACATGTCTTGTATACTTGTGGTTTTAATTTACTACTATGTAATTTTCCTTTTTAAGTACTTATTCTTTAATTTTTTGATTTTTGGTAATGGGTTTTGTATCTCATGATTGAGCATTGGCGTAGGATTGTAAGGTAAATGGGAAAGGACTCGAAGGTAAAAAACGCTGGAGCGAAGGGAAAGGGTAAGGGAAAGCGAGCGAAGGGAGTGATGAAAATGGTTCTAAGGGAAAAGGAAAATCTGGAAAGGCTTCGGATGGGCTCGACACTTGCACTTATGTCAAAGGTTTCGTTTTATACTCCATTACTTTTTTTTTTTTGGGTTTAAGAGTGAATAATGATATTTTACAATCTTTGTGGAAGTTGTATTTTTTTCATGTTATTGATTAAAGAATGTTATTTAGAAACTTGATTGTAAAAGAGAAATTTTAGATGCCCCGGATTAAAAATTTGTGCTCGGGATCCTCCAGTTGAGTTTGCTAAGGTGAACTTACATAGAGTTGCTCTAGCGAGACAAGGCTATGGCTTCGACATCCGATGTGAAGTTTTGATAATCGTTATTTATCGGTTATGAGTATTTTTTATACTCTCGTTGTGCTTTATTTGTGTCTCTCGTTGTTCCATTGTAAGACTTGTTACTCATTCATGGTATTTGCTACTTGGGTTAGAAGGGACGATGAATTGTGTTTCGCACCTTGATTGGTCTAGTGTTGACTAGATCGTTCCTTATGGTATTTACTTGCAGTTTGGCAATTTGTCTTTAACCTCAACTATCTCGTGGTTATTGACCTTTTCCTTTAAGATAGGTTTGGTGTTCCTAGTTTTCTTTCCTTTGCATTCCACCGTCACGATTAAGGAAAGATATAATATGATTTGTGGATGTAGTTTCTTGCCTTTTGTCATTACTAAATGAATTGGGTCTAAGCGTAATCTATTATGCAATTATCTCTTCTGCTAGAATCGTTTTGACTCGGAGTTGCTATGCGATAGTCTTTATGGCTTTATATGCAAATTATCCTTCACCAAAAGCATGACGGAATGTTGAGACTAAACAGACTTTACCTAAATATTTATCCATGTCTTTTCAAGTTGGACAATAATCAACTTTCATTTCTTTTTGTCTAATGAAACATTCAAAACTAGTTGAGAACATGACTAAATATGGAAAGTCATGTAGATAAAAAGTTGTTGCATCAAATGCTAGTAAATCATGTTACTTCCACGCATGATTCTTGTAAACAAATAGGATTTTAAGAATAAAACATTTGACATCCATGTCCAATTTTCCATGAAGATTTTAGTAACTTACTCGTACAATATTCAATTGACAAAAACGATACTCTCTCGCTATAATCCCGATTCTATACCGATATTTTCCCTGCTGCCAACAACTTATGCTATTTATGACCATCCTTTGATTTTATGGATTATTTTATAGAAATGATTTATTATCCTTCTTGTTATTTCGAGATAGATATTATATGTTATATTTTTATTTTATTATCATTTGTGTAATTTTTATATAAAAAAATTCAAACAAATTTATTATAAGTATTTAAATATAGAAATATAATTACATGGGTATTATAGTAAATATAAAATAATATATATTTTTTTCTTCATCTTTTTATAATTATCCAAACAAAAAAATATATATATATATATTTTTTCCTTTCTACTCTTATCCAAACAACAAATGAAAAATAATTTTTTTCTCTCTCTTTTTTTTCTTTCACTCTCTTTTCTTTTTTTCTTTTCTTCTAAGAAGAAATATCTAAACAAAGGGTTAATTTCTGTCACCACGTCATATCACCGTGCGATGAACAAACATTTTCTTTTCTTCTCAGAAGAAATATCTAAACAAGGGGTTAATTTCTGTCACCACGTCATGTCACCGTGCGATGAACAAACATGCGCTGGATATGTAAAAAGTTCGCATTATAGGATAGGTGCTCGACGGAATCAACGTAACAGTTGATAAAGTCTCGAAGCTGCTTCATTTTGAGGGTCCCCCGAGTCCGGTTGTGCATAATTTAATATCCATAACTTCTTGCAGGAAATCATAATGCAAGCCTGCAAAAATATATAATTATAATGGGAAGACAATGTTGGCTGGTTCCTTATCCACCACAACCAAAAGCAACTATCATGGCGTTTTACTGTACTTGATAAGTCGTGAATTGACTTGTCCAGACAAATTAAAAAACATAATTTATGGAGAACGGTGGTTCGATGATCTCGAGAATATTGATTTCTTTTCTTTACTCAGGTGAGAGATTTTTGTACCATCAAGTTAATGGTCCAACTGGTTTGAAAAGCTTTTTTGAATAAAATATTTGACTATTTCACCATTTCTATGTGCTACTTTGACGTGTTGAATTTCAAATGGAGAGTCAAACAAAATGTTATCACAGTGGAGGAGCAATTATTGATTATTTAATAGAATGTGATTCACACATCATCTATGATGGCCACCAAATATTGTCTGTATTCCATGAAAAAGGCCCAAAAATATCACTGGCAGAAGGGGACGTGGTTGGGTATATAGGGTACATGCGTAAATTACAAATTAATCTTTTTAGTTGTGAAAACAAAATTAATTAATTTTCTTTTAAAAAACTAATTAATTTTGTCTATTTTATGTTTCTTTTTCTAATTTAATTTATTTTTATTTTAAAAATAAATATTATGGAAAAAATATAAGAAAAGAAACATATTAAAAATAAATAATATTAACTTAAACATGATCTAATATCAATTATCAATTGATACATTAAATTATTAATTAAAAAACACTAATTAATTTATAACTGACTTGTGGGCACATAAATCCAACACGAAAAGCTTTCAAGTTGCAATATCTTTGTCTTCCACCTAATGATTCTTTGGGCCGGAGTAACCAGCTTAGCTTTACCTCCGTCCTCACAGCTTTCATAAAATAAGTGCCACAATTTGACCTACTTTGTCTTCTTCTTCTTCTTGGTTTTTTATTTTTTTCTCTATCAGATTTTTATTTATATATTTTAATCTTTTACTACTCTTAAGTACCTAAATGGTACGTATTATGTATATATGTTAAAAGTAATTTAGGAAATTGAGCTGAAGATCAAAGATTTAAGCTTGCTTGTTGTTGGATTGAGGATAAATTCTGTACTTTCACGGTAATTTTTTATTGAATGATTTGGCAAAACAATTATAAGATCTTGCAGTTCATTTCAAAGGGATTTTTGAAGATTAAAGATTGAAGCTTGCTTGTTGTTCGTTTGAGGATAATATGTTACAGTGGTGGTTGAAATTCAATCTTTCATGTGATGCTTCATAGTTGTTAGTTGAAAAGAATAAAACGAGAATGTGAGTGAAAAGTAAAAATGAAAATAAAAATTAGACATAGTTTCATTCTCATGTGTGAGGTGAAAATAAAAATAAAAAATAAAAATAATTTTTTTTAAAAAATAATAATATATTATTTTTATTTATTGTGTATCAACTACTTTTACTATTATCACCGCCACCATCTATAGTCATAAAAAAATTAAAAAAATTATTATTATTATTATGTCACTTTTATTATATTACCATCATCATTATTTTTCCGCCACCACCTCTTATGATGATGGTATCAAATTTTTTAAAATATATTATTTTTAGTACTAAATTGTTATTACTCGTCAACTCCTCCTCGTCATCCTCATACTCGACCATCATCATCAACACAACTATAATCATCTTTATTATTTTTACTCGTTATCATAATTAATGAAGTTATTTTTTTAATTCTTATTCCTATTAACTTGATATTTAAAAAAAATTAAATTTCATCTCACTTTCTTATTATTATTTCAAACGCAATATGATAATAATTCTCATTTCGAACCTTTCGGTATTAATTTGACAAGGTAATTAATATAAAAGTTTTTTTAACATCCAAAGATGAGAAGATTAATTGTTAATTTGGAGTGTTTTCTTATAGATTTTAAGTTTTATAAAAGGTGATTAATTTCTTAATTATTTTGAGAATTTTGTTAGAGACTACCATATGTTACTACTTTTTTTTTTAACACAATCGGATAAGCAATAAATCTAATATAATCATGCAATAAATGGTAAGAAAGTATCATTCCCATGAGGAATAAAATTGCACTACTAAAATTACCTAACTTATAATAAGTTGAATTAATCGAAACAATTAAAAGAATACAAATTAAATTAAAACTCTATTCTAAATTTGCATAATTGAAAATTACTAATAAGATGATATGAAAGTAGTCGGAGATAGATTCATTTAATTCTAACTTATGTAATTAAGTTTATTATCTTAACTCACAAACCATCTTAAAGTCTATCTTAATATATGCGACGACGAAATTTTACGAACAAGTTAATAAGCTATCTCTAGTCAAATTAACCATATTCTTCACCTAACAAATCATCCATATTTCTATGTGACTTAAATTAAAACCTAAATGCATTAGAATCAATAGAATCATCTAATATAAAATAAGCATGTCATCACGTACTTTTCTTTTCCATTATTATACTAGAACTAGTCTGTCTTTCGATTAATGGTAAACTAGTGATTTATATTGTTATGATCTAATACATACAATTCCCTCAAACTCTAGTATATGCATTGAATCAATATGAGATGATCACTCTCTTAAAGCATTAAATACAACAATATAAATCCATCATATATCAAGAATTAGGTTTTGAGTTGAGAAAAATAATTAATCATATAGAATAAGAACTAAAATCATCTATTCTTAACAATTTATCTCTCCATAAAGAAATTTTTTGGATCTAAAAATAAAATATCACATCGATAATTCATCAGAATAATAATTAAAGAAAATTCAATTAGTTACTTATCTAATGAATCTGTATGCTTCTGTAGTTTTTTTTTCTTCTTCTGGCTACTGTCTCCAATTTGCTCTCTGGCGACCTGTGCTTTATTTTGCTCTTTGCTACCTCAAGCCGTGCAAATTCTCTTGCTGCCCGCAGCTGTGCAAAAATCCTCACTGTCGTGCCAGTTGCCCTGTGAACATACAGACCTTCTGTTTGTTTTTCTTTATGCTTTCTCACTGCCGTGCACATCTCTCTTTCATTATGTCTATAACTCTTTTTTTTTTTTTTAGCCATAGACTCCTTTTTTTAGTTCACCACGTCACTTTCACTTTTTTTGGTACACTGCCGTGCCTAAAGTCCACCTTCTCATGCTCATCACATTTTCCTTTATAGCTAGGCCTTTTTTTTTTTTTCAGTCCAGCACGTAAGTCTCCTCCAAGGTGATGAATTGAATTTTTAAAATGTCCAAGTCAAACACTTTTTTTTTTTTAATTTAATCTTTGTTTTTTATTTTTATTTTCATATCAGTCCTTATTTTACCTTATTCCTTTACTTTTTTCTTTATTCTTTACGTCTATAAATTCAAAACATATGAGAATTAATTTATATCAAATAAAACATAAATCACACACATAATTAATGAATTCGAGCTCTAAATTTACATAAAAAATACTTATCATCATACTATCATTACAAAAGATTGTATTTAATAAAATTTTTAGGATAAGAATTAATAAGTTATCTAAGATAATTTTATTGTTGAAAAGGGTTAAATCTCTCACTTTTATGAAAAAAAATTGATATGGAAATCATCTTTGAACACAATTGAGGAAACCAATTTTGGTAGCGAAATAATTGACCCCGAAATTTTAATTAATCATAAATCTGCACAAGAAAAACGGAAGAGAAAAATGAGGATGCCATTGAATATTATATTAGTTTAATGGAGAATCATCAAGAAAAAGGGGTATGGAATTATTAAATTGGATCCTCACTTATTTTTCAGATGAGATTTTTGTTATTATCTTATATTACTTTTAACTTCTTTGAAAAAAACAAGATGGATAATATTTTGTGATATAATTCTCTTTTGACTTTTCACACATTTAAAAAAAAATTATTAACTATTATACTATATCAATATTTTTTAACAATAATTTTTAAACTTTTTTTTTTTTTGTTTAAGAATAAAATCTATCTAATCTAATCTTACATTACAAAATAGAGGTATTTTAGAAAAAAAGTACAGTATTATAGGAGACATGTGACTAAGGTGTTTATTAAAATCCTTGACTAAATAGGTATTTTGAAACAAATATAAATAAACAGGGAGACAATTTTTTGGAACCATAAGGAGTAAATTATAGTTTCTTTTAATAAAGAAATATATTTAGAAAAAGGAGAATCATATAAGAAGATACATATAATATTTACTGATGGTACAGTAGTATAGGAGACATGTGAGTAAGGTATTTTCCAACATATCTTTTTTGTATTTTAATAGATCGATGATAATTTTTTTCCTCATATAATGAAACTAACTTCAATTTTAAAATTAAAATGTCAAAATAAATTTTATATATTGAAAAAAATAAAACTGTTTTTCTCTCCCTTTTTTTTTTTTTTTTGAAACAAAAAGATGGAACTTATAATAACACGATACCACAAATTTACATCATTTTCTATTTATTTTAATAAATAAATTAGCGTAGATTTTTTTAGCAGTTATTATTTTAAAGAGATTTACGAAATATGCACAAACTTAATTTAAACTATTAAATATTGATGGACAATTCAATTTGATATCCTTAATTTTTATTTTAATGGAGTTAATTTAATTTTATGTGTTTTAAAAATAAAACAAATTATAAATTATCAAAAATTATATAAAATAGTCAGATTTTAAAATTAAATATTCTAATCAAATAAATATCCAAATTTATTCATTGATAAATAATTTAAAAATTTTGTTAAAGAATGCAAAGACACTATGAAATAAATAAATAATACATGTTGGAATCACATGTCAAAAAAATTAGAGTGTGTGTGGATTTTTTTTTCATTGTTTAGATTTTACCATTTAGCTTTTTTTCCTTAGTTATTTCAAAGTTCCCTTTCTTTTTTTTTTTTTTTTTTACATATATACATATATATATATATATATATATATATATATATATATATATATGTGAGTGTGTGGAAGGGATACTTTTGTCAAAAAATAGCAAAAGGACATTTGAGAGTAAATATGATTATATAAAGATATATGAGGTCAAAATTTCTGAAAATAGCTTAGAAGAAAATACTTCTACTATATAATAGCAAATGTAGATGGATGAGTCAACCTAAAAAATATATATATATATATATATATATATATACTTTTAATAATAGAAAATTATTATGTTCATTTTTGTTCTTGTTTTTCAAAGCATGTTAACCTAGTTTTTTAAGTGAGCATTGTGTTTCACAAGCTAGTAAGAATTTAATCAAACATACTGTTTAATTCAGAACTAAACCAGGTATTTGGATAGTTAAGCCTCAGCTGTAATTAACTAATTATGCGTTGCAAAATTTGTTTCGTTTTTGTCTTGCATCGTGTTTTTTTATTTTTATATATACAAGGGTTGCCCGTATGCTTGGTTTCTCGAACACAATAACTTTTACAAAATATTTTACATTTTAGCTTCTCCTCTCTTTTCCCGGCCCCTTCCAAAATGACTGATGCTTCAAAAACCAATGAATCTTCAAACACGAATAACAAATATGAAGAGATAATCTCAAACCTTCCCCAAGATAATGGCTGGAAACCATTTGGAAAACTTTACAACTATCAAGGCTTTTGGTACGCTCCATCGTTGCTCCAAAATGTAATTTCAGCTCAGCAGTCCTTCACTCCCCAACCAAAAGATTTTATCCTGTGCAGCTCTCCGAAAAGTGGCACAGCTTGGCTTAAGGCATTGACCTTTTCCATTGTGTCACGAAATCAGGTCGATGATTCCACAAACCCTTTGCTCAAAAAACTGCCCCATGAAATTGTACCTTTTATGGAGATTGAGCTTGCCCAAAACTCAAGTAACAGAAACCTAGATATTCCATTTGTGGCAACCCATATTCCTTACACTTCTATGCCAAAATCCATAATAGACTCAGATTGTAAGATTATCTACATAAGCAGGGATCCCAAGGATGTCCTTATTTCTCATTGGATTTTTGATATTAAAGTGAGTGGCATCGGCTTGGAATCCTTCCCTCTGGAAGAAGCATTAGAGCAATACTGCAAAGGGGTCTATCCTTTTGGACCCTACTGGGACCATGTTCTAGGATTCTGGAAAGCAAGCTTGGAATTCCCGGAGAAGGTACTGTTTGTGAAGTATGAAGATTTGAAGACTGATGGGCCATTCCACGTAACGAGAATGGCCAAATTCATGGGTCACCCTTTTTCGGTAGAGGAAAAGCAGCAAGGAGTTCCAGAAAAAATCGTGAATATGTGTAGTTTTGAGAATCTGAGCAGTTTGGAGGTGAATAAGAACGGAAAATATAACCTTCCTGACCTCCCTACTGTTGAAAACAAATCTTTTTTCAGGAAAGGTAAAGCAGGTGACTGGAAAAATCATTTGACAAATGAGAAGGCAGAAAAACTCGACCAAATTATGAAAGAGAAGTTCAGTGGTTCCGGCTTGGTTTGATTTTCATAAAATTCGAAACTCAATTACTGTTGAGTCTTCCTTGCTTAATTTCGATTGGCTTGAATAAACAGCACATTCAGGTTCACTTATCTGACTCAACTATTGTTGAGTTCTTCTGTGTGAATCAGATATGCTACTGTTCTAGTGTTGCACAATTACCTTTGTTATTCGGATATTTTTCCTTGATTTATGTAAGCTGTGATGTAATATTAATGCTATGTATCCATGTCTGAGACTGGAGGGCAACACTATCGGAATAATCTCCGGTGAATCGTGTAATAATATTAATAAATAAAAACTCTCCGTTGTATTGTGGTTTGTAATTAATTAATTAATATGAACTAATATTATGTATTCATGGTGTTTTATTGCATACGTATACAAGTCTTGTCAAAAGACTAATTTCTTCAAAAGCTTAAGTTTGATCGCATCATATTATTTTTATTATATTAATATATTTTTCAGGTGAAAATTTTTTGAATTTAAAATTTATATAGGTTTATATAATCATTAGGACAGGAAGACTATAATATCTTATTAAAAGATTAAATCATTTCAGAAATTTAAATTATTAAATGAGGTTGTTTAATATAATTTATATTATTTTTTAATAAATCTTATAGCTGTGGTGTGCACACAAGATAATTGAAAAATGATATTTGCACTCCATGATTTGAAAAAAATATATTATGGTGTAGAGAAAAGTTAATTGTGTCCTTTAGCCGTTAGTTAAGAATTATCCAAGTGTATTAATTAAACTTCATTTATTGTTGATTTGTGTTTTTTTCTTAAAGTCAATTATTTAAATAAAAATCAATAATATTTATTAAAGATACTGAATACGTGTTATTTTGTGTGGTAGTATTTTTAAGTATTTATAATTAATTTTAAGGAAAATTTTTTTTAAGTATTTTCATTTCCCTATTATAAGTTTCAAGTACTTCTTAAATTTTTTTATTGCTATGTTTTTTTCTTTGTTGAAGGTTTATAGGCTTTTGGACTATACAACGAGGAGTAGTTTCTCTTATTAATTACATAATTAATAAAGAAATTTAGAATTATTAAAACTTGAATTTTGCTTTACTAAAAAAATTAACTAGGTATATGTACAACCTCTAATTAAGGTAAACTTTCTTGTGTTTTGATTGCCATATTTGATTGCATGATAACCAAATAAGAAGTAAAAAAAAAAAACTGGAATTAAAAGGAAATTAAGAGAGGAAACTTGGATAACATAATTTGTTATGGAATCATACGTGGAATGATAGGGGTAAGTAAATGGTTCGGTTAACCGAAAATCGAATAAAACCAAACCGAATTATAAAATTTAGTTTGGTTTTAAATATAAAATTATACAATATAAAACCAAATCAAAAAAACCAAAATTATTTCGGTTCGGTTCGGTTTTTAGAAAAAAAATTTCAGTTTCGACCGAAAACCGAAATAAATAGTAAAAAATTTCCTAATTTCTAAATCCCTAACTTTTCAATCTTCATTCTTGTTGAAACCGAAACACGCGGATGGGAAGTAAATTTTGAGGACTCGTTGGGGTAAGAAAAGAAAATGACATAGTGTAATTAATTGGGATACGGCGTGTTTAAATGAGCAAATTTATTACACTTGGACTCGTTTTCATTAAAGCTTAATTAAAATCTTCAAGGGCTTTGTGATTGTTTATAAAAAGGATTAATTGACAACAAGATGTTACTTCATTGGCTAATGGACTAAGTGCTAATACAAAATATCTCTCTCGTAATGAATTTTTTTTTTACAACAAAATATTTTGGTTAAAATCGAAATATTTCGAAATCAAACCGAAATAATTCGGTTACAAACCGAATTTATCGAATTTATTTCGGTTCGGTTTTGCTTTTTATTTTTTTAATTCGTTTAACTAAAAACCGAACCGTTTAACCGAATGCTCACTCCTATGGAATGATAGGAATTCTTGTAATCGAGCAAACGTATTCTTATATGGTTTTTAAAAATTTCGTAAAAGAGATCTTTAAGGTGTTTGGCGTTTTTTAAAATATTATAAATAATTTTTTTTAGGATTTTCAAAATTAAAATTTCTCTTAAATGATTGTAGGCATTTTGGTCTAAAGACGGATAAAAAGAACATATGGAATAAAATAGGAATATATAATGACATATGGAAGAGAATTTTATGAAAAATACGTCCAATATATATATATATATATAAAGATGAATCAATTAACCAAAGCTAAAAAGCTAGGACTTTCAATTACCCTTGTTTTTTTACCTTATGAGTTCCTACTTCACATACTTGTTAATCAATAAATATTATTCTAAGAAAATTATTATTGAAAAAAAAACATGAGTATAATAATAATTACGTAATCAACATAAAACAAAATCAATTTGTATGATAAATGAAGTAAAATTTCAACTCGAAGGAAATCTTTAGTGGAGGCAGTGAAGGGGGAGATTGGATTTGGTTGTCCTGCTTGCGATGGAGAGAGACACGGGAAGAATTTTGTGGTGGAGGCAGTGAAGGTAGAGATTGGATTTGATGGTCCTGTGATGGAGACAAGGGAGGAATTTTGTTTGATTGTTTCTTAAATTAATGTCGATGTGAAAGGAAAAAAAAACGATATTACAGTTATTATAAAATTTAGTAATGTGTTAATGGAACCAAAAAAAAAAAAAAAGAAAGAAAGAAAGAAAGAAATTGAGAGTAAATTATAAATTAGTCTTCCTAGTTTTGAAAAATTAATTAATTAGTACTTTTTATTTTAAAAAAATTAATTAATTATTTCTTATATTTTTAAAAATACTTGTAACTTAATCATTTTCATTTTCATTTTTTATTTTTTTAAAATTTTTTAAAAAACTTAAGAAAAATATGAAAATATTGATAAAAAACAAAACTATTTTTAGAATAAAATAATATTAAATTAATCATAATCAATATTAGTTAATTGATTAAATAAATGATGGAGAGTAATTGGTATGTTTTATGAAACTAAAGAAACTAATTTATAATTTACTCAAGAAATGGGTTACGTGGGTAATGTGTATGTTTCACTTTTTTATTTTTATATCCAATACAATCGAACCCTTTTATTTTATTTTATTTAATATTAAAGGTATTTTCAAGTAAGTTAATCCATTAATCAACATTAAGTTTTTTTCAAACGATTTTAAGAATATATCCTCTACATCGGTCTAGTATATTATATAAATTTAATAAATATTCAAAGATACTAACACTCATAAAATAAAATAAAATAAAGTAAAATTTCTTAATTATTAGGTCCGCCCTTTCAAATTTAACAACTTTACACTTTGACATTGGACATTAAACATTTTCACTATTATTATATAGAAAAGGTAAGAAACGATCGGTGTGTGTGTGTATTAAAAGCAAACACTAACATACAAGTAATGCATATCCCATCAATACGACAAGCAATAACCTAGTTTTCTAACACTTACCAAAAGAATTGATTATCTAAAATAGAAATTTTTGCATAGTAAAATGATAATAAGCTCATACATAAGTACTTAATATTGCAAATTCTAATCTTGCAAACCAAGAAAATACCAATAATCAACATCCCGACCATTAAAATTTCAAGCCTAGATCGCCTAACATACTGTTTTGTTGTTTCATCAATGATAATGATTCATGGTTTTAGTAACGGATTTGAATATCATCACTAACAAATCATCGCAAACTATCGGTTTTCTTATTATGAATAATACACTCAATCATCGGAGGGCTCAAATGATTCTTTGAATCTCCAACTTTTCCTTGCTCGAAGAATGCTTTGTTCTTTATTCCAACCAACAAATCTCCACTCTTGTTCACTTTAAAATGGCTCATTTTCTCGAAACGAGATAGATCAATAATTTCTCATACTTGTCCCATTTTCCTCTTCCTTTGAATGAAAGGCCGGCCAAGAATTCGGGTTTCTTTTTTTGTTTTTGCAAAAGGATTGTTTTTCATATCTTCATATTTCAACAACAATATCCTTTTTGGTAATTCTAATGTTAGATGCACCATTCCAAAACATATTAAATGCCTCTTTTAATTGAATCGATGTCAATCTCTTGATCGGTATCAACTTGTTAGAAAAGTGCCATAAGGAAACAAACACATTTTTTGAGTCACGACAAATGTAAACAATCCTACAACCTCGAGTTTATTATAAATTATGTATAGGGGTTCTTGAGTACTAATCGGACGAATAGTTGGTAAGCCAATCAAGATGTAGAAAGTCGGTGTTCCAGACTGTAGAAGCAACTGTCTACCAACCATTTAGAAACGATATAAACGAGTAAAAGAAGTGAGGAGAAACGGACAATACTAGCAAAATGTGAGTCGGGGAGGTGACAGGTGGATAGTCAAAGTTCAAATAGATGAAACTTTAGGTGTTATTTGGTGTGTGAGTAGAAAAGTTTTGAGATGAAGAGTTAGTGGTTTCTTTTGCGAGAGATCTAAAGTTCCGAAATTAAAATTTCTCTAATACAAAAATTCAGATCCCTTCATAATGATGTGATGTTGATATTTATGGTGAAAAAAGATGGCATTTGACCACTAAGATCATGTCACATCATCCAAATTTAAACGATCAAATTTGGCTTGAAAAAATTATTATTTTTTTCTTTTTTGGATAAACTTGCTTTAGCTTGTTAGCAAATGCTAAATGAAGTAATAATTAGGTCTTTCTTTATCGGACCTTGCTTCGAACTCATCAATTCAACCTTCCTAGTGCATCCCAAATATAACGCATGGATACTAACATTGTCATAATACTTGTAACCATCCTCATTATCCAAGACCTTGTGTTGATCGAGGCTCATTCTTAGTTCAATCTATTTATTATGCAACTTGAACCTATGTTTTAAAAAATATAGATTAATACAAAATAAAAATTAACTTATAATAAAATATTTTTTTAATTTCTTCATTAACTAATAATATATTTTTTACTTTTAAAATACTAAATTATAATTTTCTTCTCTTTTTGTTT